TTCCACGTAACCTCTCTAGTCCCTCCTGGAAGAACAGGTTCATGGCCTCAGACCCTAACACTGCTGAGATCTGAAGCTGCAGGCACACCAGAGCATGTACATATCCACAAAAGTGAAAGATGAAACAATTTGCAAAGCAGTCATGTATCCATAACTTGGTTTCATGAGGGAAACAATGAGGTAAACACTCACAATGGCACAAAAACATAAACACATATAAATATAGTACACACAGGTGCATAGGCTATAAGAGAAGTGAACTTTCTGCCGATGCTTCAAAGATATAAATAAGCAAGACATAGGAAATCTATACTTTTCTGTCTGTGAGGAAAGAAAGGAAATGCATTTGTCAGATCCTGGTCTTGTGCCAGGTGCTATGATAGGTAGTTTCAGGTAACTTAAAATATATAGTATTATTACATCCCTTATTGTATAATCCTAAACAACCTTCCAGGTAGGTGTTGTTATGCATGCTTTACAGATGAAGTAATGGAATTCAAAGAGATAATACATTCAAAACTAACTGACTTGGCTAAGGTCATACCTCTGATAAATGATAGACCCAGAATATGCTTCAAGTCTGCCGATAGGGAAATAAAGGGATGTGGAGAAAGTGAGGTTCCTGTGTCCAGGATTCTCACCTGGTCCTGGTTGGCTTGCTTACTACACACATGTGGGCAATACGTCGATATTGACTCCAGTGCTCTGGGCAACACGGTGGCATGGCTGCAAAGCTGCAGGAGTGCAGAGATGATACTGGAGTGGTGGCTGCGCTGAGGACAGACTGATACGGCTGTGCAGGCAGAGAGGCCCAGAGGCAGAGACCGCCTTGCTGCATGCAGACTCACTCTAAGTAGATGGGATTCTAGTGATTGACCTGCCACCATGGAAATAAAGTTGGGTATAACCCTTTCACCCCAAGAACATCCTACTGTCATTTGTTTGGTCACACTGAATCCATAGTGAACTTGTCTGGGGCTAAAACCCATTGACAAGCAGGGGAGAAGGATGTTCTCTGTGTATACATTTTTTATTGCAAGAATTTTTTTTTTCCACAGAGCATTTTTACTCTTCTAACTTTTGCAACTGAAATATTATCCCATCTTTTTGGATTGACCAATCCTATCCACCTCAGAGTATGAGACCAATCCTCTCATCAAAGGGCCCTTAAAGGAGCTAAGCGGAGAAGTCCACTATCAAGTCAGCATCCTGCCCACCGCAGCTGTGGGGCCCAGGACTGTGATTCTTTTTGTATTTCAGTTTCAGTAAGTGGTCCTATCTTGGTTACCTGTCCAGCTGTAGAGAAAATGAGTTTTCATGGCCAGGATTCTCGACTGCCCCTGGTTGGCTGGCTAACTGCACACATGTGGGTGATACGTTATCACTGACTCCACATAAGGAGCTCTGCCCAGTGCTCTGGGCTGCACAGCTGCAGGAGAGCAGAGGCTGGAGTGGTGGCAGCGCCAAGGACAGAGACTGAGACAGCTGCCGGGGCAGAGGGGCCCAGAGGCAGGGACCTGCTTGCTCCATGCAGACTTGCTCAGAGGTGGATGGGATTCTAGTGCTTGACCTGCCACCATGGGAATAAAGTTGGGTACAAACCCTTTTGCCCCAAGAATGTTCCACTGCCATTTTTTTCAGTCTGACCAAATCGAGAGTGAACTTGTCCAGGGCTGATACTCACTGGCAAGACACCAGCCCTCCAGTCTTGCTGTGACTGCGTGTCTGCTTTGAGCCCCTTCAGTCATTTGGAAAGTTAGAACGCTTTCCCTGAGGGATGGTCTGAATGGCTGGACCCTTTTTTAGATCTCCTGTCCTCAGAATCAGTTCTTCCTGCCCTTTACTTCTGAGGCCTCCCCGCATGGCTGATCTATTTTCGTGAATTTTTTTGGAATTCATGTCATCTTTAGTCTGCTACATTACTCTGCTAATCAAAGCTTTGTTATGACACTTAGTTCAATCTTAGTCTCAATCTCTATACAACAATGACTTCTGTTAGTAAATAAACATTTTCAATTTGTTCCACCATCATTATTTTTTGGCTTATTGATATGGAACTTTCTGGTATCGATCTTGTCCAAATGAAAGCCCATCGTTGGTTCAGGAATAATTATAGGTGCAATTTACTGGTCACTTTGCATACATTACTTCAGTTAACCGACATAACAGATAGGTGTCATTATTATGTGTGTCCTACAGAGTAGGAAATTGAGATGTGGAGCAGATCTGGTTTTTCTGGATTCAAAGCATCTGAGGTCATTTAAGGATCTTTACCTGTAAAAGGTAGCAAGATTGGGCAGCAGAAGAAGTCAAACTCTGATATAGGCCTGACATAACCTTGGCTGACTCAGCTGGGAGCTCTGAGTCAGGGATTGGCCATCAGCATCCCCTGCAAAGCCGAATGTCCAGTTTCTTTGCTCCATTACTGATGCAGTCTGTCATGGGACCTTGAATGAGGTGAGTCTCAACTGAGCAGACCCTGAAGGAGTTTATGCCTGGAAGCTACCTGCTGACTGCATTACCCACAACTGTGAGCAAATTTGTCCTTGGAGAGGGACCTGAGTCGTGCATCTCTGTGTCTACCACAGACTCTGAGAATCTATGACAGATTCTACAGGTAGTAAGTGGCAAAGATTTGCTCCCAAGCTTTTTGTGACCCCAAAGTCCATGCCCTTCCTAATTCATGAACTGGTTTCCAACTATCCATTTGCTCCAGCTATATCAGAATCACCCTCTTTATAATAGGGATATTTGGCCTCAATGCTGTAAGATTTTCATTAATTGGGTGTGCATGGGATCCAGGAGTCACACCCAGTTTATAAAAAGTTTCTGGCTGATTCTAAAGCACAATCATGTACAGAAACCATTGCCTATCAATAACATTGATGGGGAGAGGATACCAAGTAGAAGAGAGAAGGTTTTAAATGCTGGACTACATTTGTGGTAGAAGCTATGCAGTAGTTTTGTGGGTGTTAAAAAATTCAGAACCAAGATTTATCCCACTGGGCTCATGTCTAATGTCCAATGACAAGCCCTGTACAGGACCCTGTATCTTGTTCTGTGATTGCTGTTTCTCTGATCACCCTGGGGCAAAAATCTTGGAGAGAGTACAGGGCTTCATGACTCATATAAGCAACTGAGTCTGTAAGTGAACTGAAGAATTTGTCCTCTAAGTAGCTCCTATGATGTTTGCAAAAGGAATTTGAAGATGCCAAATTCCATTTTGCCTTGTGTCTTTCACCACAAAATTGGAGGTAGGTTCATGCTTCTAAAATTATTTCTCACATACAATACTAATGCAATAAAAAATTTAGTAAGTTCTTTAGATTTGCACACTTAAGTAAAAAGCATAATTTCCTGATCAAATAATATATGATTATAATGGGACAAGGGTCAAGAGAGATGCTTAATTACTAGATGAGGTATAAATTTACAGCAAAATTGACTTGTTGCTGAGCTAGCAAACTTCTGAGCCAAGCTTCTTGCAATTCTTGTTACTAGAATGAAGATGGGAGTCAGACTCTGTGGGAAGGCTCTGTGTATAGTGGGGCTCTCAGGACTCCAGCTGTGGAGGGATAAAGGGCCAGTCATGCTGATAAAAGTTAACAGAATATATATCTTTTAAAAATACATTAGATATACATAAGGTTTTTTCCAACTTGATCTAATTATCATGGTTTTTTATATGAAAAAAATCTTTAAAGAATAAATCGAAAGTTTTATTCTGAGATAAAGTTTATATGACTTCTTCCTAGTTTGGGACAATATCCTGAGATTTTTGGCTTGTGGTTTATGGCTTTTGACCTTTGGGACCATTTTAAAGGTACCATGAGCCTTGCCTCAGTTGCCACAGGAAGTTTGCACTCCACCTTGAGCACAGGAAAGAAAGTTGTGTAAATGCTGCATAAATATTTTGCAGGATGTTTACTTGATAAGTAATGGAAGTTGTAAGAAGAAAAGTATAGTTGCTCTATGTTACACTGTTAGTTGAAATGCATGAATATTTAGGTTCCAACACTGAAGGTTGATATGAGGAAACTTTTAGTATGGTTCACTGAGCTCCTTAATATCAGGAAGAGTGACTCATTCATCTTTGTGCCTCCAAGCATCGAGTGATGTCTATTTGAATCAATGAATATTCAGTAACTGGTTTTTAACCTTATGTACTTAAAACTGTTGAAGTTTGGCCTTGGAAGAAAATTACCAGACTGAGAGAAAGACTTAACAAAATCAACTTCCCTCAATGACCACAGATGTTACAAATGTAGATTTCTCATTTGGAATCTCAAGTGGGTGAATTTAATTAGTTTCTGTATTAGAAGCTAAGCTCATTATAACAAATGACTTTGGAGAAAACAGTCCCATGTCACCCTGAATTATCTGATCTTGAATTTCCATTTCTTCCTTTATTGTTTCAGTTCTGTTTAATTCAGACAATAATCATATGAAGAATGTTGAAAATGGAAGTTTCCTTTAACTGATAATCAAGATGTCATTTAGCTCTGAACTTCATTATTTAGAGGGGACACATAGCCAATATGAACAATGATCTTGTTTCACTGATATTTATCTACAGATTAAAGACAGTTGCCCTTCCCTCATCTGTTGAGGAAGTGCTTCCTGTCACTCATTTTCTCCATAACCTCAAAGAAATCTCCACTAATTTAATGACAATAAGCATGTTCATCTTACCACAACATGATGTTTAGGAAGAAAAATCTAAAGTTTTACATAAGAGAAGTTTCACAATCTCAAGCTTTGAAAAGGGGGGAATGTGTACTTAAAATAGGTACTTTTTACCATAAATTTCCTGACTTTGATTTGATTAAAAATCTCAACCTAGGATTGCAATGATATTAATTTCTTTAGTTCTTAATTGTTCATTTCCCTGAACTTTGAATGAGAAAAACCTCAACGTAGGGCAAAGAGTGGTAAGTGGAAGGAGAAGTTAAGGACCAAGCTGCTTTGCAGATCAGAACATTTGAAAGTGAACAGCCAATTTGACAAGAAGCAAAAACCACAGAACTGAGTTTCACGTAGTCTTTCTGTTCGCTTTGTTTCACACACTATTCAGGTTCTTCCTACTGTCTTCTCCCACCTCCTCTTTCTTCTTTATTTATTTCACAGATGTTGGTGAGGTAGGTAATCTGATCCAAACTTGTAGAATTCAGGGGAAGAAGGGAAGCGTTCTACCTGAGAAGTTTTTTCATCTGTGATATGCCCAGGAGATGAAGACAATGCCTGCCATACTTGGAATCAGGAAATTGTTTTGGGGCTTTGTCCTCATCCCACATCTGGCCATTTGGAGTATTAAAGGTAAGTCACCTACTAAGATTATTTCTTGTTTTATTTCTTAGTGAGCGTTGGAAGCAGTGTTTTCCCTTGCTGATATTAGCATGCCAAGGTGGTGTTTATGTTGAGTGGATAATGGTAGATGAAACCAAGTAGTTCGATTTACTTGCCAAGAATATTCTAGGACATAAACCAAATTAAAACATGGTGTTAAAGTATAGCCTGGCTGATTTTCTTAAAAATGTATTCTGATGGTAATAAAAAAAGATTTAGATAGATATTACAAGCAGTTAGATACAAATTTATCACCCCTACTAGTAAAAGTGCTCTGGATGCCATATGATGTGAATAAATAGCTTGGTTTTTTTCCCAAACTAAAGCTAGCAGTGTTGTAGTGCTCCATTAGGTAGGATAGTTGTTGGATAACTGGGGTTTTACCTGACTCCATCGTTATTCTTGAATTACGTCGCTAAATAGAATCCCATTATTTGCTTCAGTGGAGTGTATGCCTTAAGAATACTGAATGAGAACATGCTGAGAAATACAGGGTCCTCATTGCTCTTATTTTGTTGAAAGAGAATGGCTCCTACTAGGGTGTCATTTGAAAAAAAAAACAACTTGAGTTCTGCAGAGATGATGTTTGGCTATCTCTGCAAAGATTTTATGTAGACAAAAAAGCGATTTCCTCCTTCTGGTGAGTTCACTTGCCACCTTACATTGACACAGGGCCCCAAATACAGTGAAGGAGGAAGGGATACAAATAGCTAGCAGAATTTCTGATTTTTCTCAGATCTTGTTTCAAATACTCTGCCTTATTATCCCTACCATCACACATAGTCTTATTAGTTTGTGTGCTGTGGTGTTAAATTGGAATGTATGGCCACTTTATAGATCTTATGGAATGCTCTCTCAAATTCTACAACTGTATGGTTTTTGATTTTTCTCCATGATGTCAAGATGGCACATGATTAGGCACAAAATAAAAATTCCTTCCAACCAAATGAGCATTTTTATGTTTGTAAGAATTTGTTATTATGTTAATGAGGTGCTCAGATGGCTTACTAGATTTTTCACTTTCTATCAGATGCCTAAATTCACATAGCTACAACTGGAGTCAAATACTATTAAACAAAATTCATACCAATTTGAAGAATATAAAAACTATTCTCTGTGAAATGAAGTGAAAAAAAAATCAGTGTTCTATCACCGTGGGCATGGGGTACAACTGTTCCTCCCATTGTGCTTATAAAATGGACCTGGGTGTTACGATTGGGTTCATTACTGTGGACCTTGGTTAAGCTTCTTATCCTTAGTTTCCTCATCTGTAAGATAGAGATAATGTCATACCTAAACTATGGGCCATTGTGAAGACTATAAATACAGTGATATGGGTAAAATGCCTGGCAAAGTAAGTGCACATAATAAAAGCTCCATACATGTTAATGGTATTTTCTAATGTTAAATGTTAGATGAAAAAAAGAAATGTTAGATGGTACTTTCGCTAATACTCTTTTCACCAACCAATCCCCACAAAATTCAATTAAGTGTTAACATTATCCTTTAAAATAGTTGAGTTTTTAAACATAAAATGAATAAATAAAATATATTGTGCACTATATTTAGCCCAAACCATAGTGAATCAAATTATTTGGAAAATTAAATAATGGAAAGCCTTGGACAAAGTACTGACTAGATATCTTATTTGGCAGCTGATAAACTGCAGCATTACTTCAATTAACTAGAGGATACAGGTTGAGAAGAGGAATATTTGGTGAGATTTGTTCTCTCAGACAGAGCTGATGGTTCTGTTCCTTAAGTCATGTTAATTTTAACCTTTCTATCTTGTGGATTTCCTGTGATTTACTTAATTAATAAATGCTTTACCCTGGCACAGTAAAAAAAAAAATATTTTTAAACACTTTTTTTCTCCTCTACTTCAAAGCAATATGAGATCTATGTGCCTCTTCCCAGGAATGAGGCTGCATCTATAATAAGGTTAGAAAAAAATGTTTTCTTCTCTAGAAGTATCTTGTTTAAGGTCATTCTTTATAAAAAAATTATGCCAGCTTGCTTTTGCTATTTCTCAGAAAAACTGGAGGGGATCTGTTCTTTGCTATCTGGCTATGATTTCTGTCCTGATGAGGTAAGAGAAGTGTCCAGGATTTCCTGGATTAAGGCATGAAAAGATTAACCCCTGTGCTGGTAACAGCCTTGAATAGACCTTCCTAATACAGAGAAACTCTAGGTAAATGTTACTTGTGTGTCCTACTATCAAAATGTCTCTTCTGTAATGTTGAAGTCAAATGCTGTTCATCTTACTTCACTGGAACTTTCCTGCTTAATTTTCATTATTTGTGAGTTTCAACTTTACTTAGCATTCAAAATTGTTACAAGAAAAAATGTTCACAGACATTTGTAATCAGGTTCCAAGATGAAATCACCCTTCCCCCTTTTTCCTTGGAGAGTCAGTGGTGGAGTGGTTAGGATCAGGGACCCCAGAGCCAGACTGCCTGGAATACCACCCCAGCTCTGCCATTTGCTGGTTCTGTGACTAAACCTCTCTGTTTTTGTTTTCTCATCTTAATAATAGGGACAATAATGATACTGACCTTATAGGGTTGTTGTATTAAGTGAATTAATTCTTTAAAATACTTAGAACATCACTAAGTAGCTGTGTAAATTTAACTAATAGTTTTTTTCCCCTTATAGTCCAAAATTTAATTTGCTTGATAGTTCCCTTAAAGTAGTATTGAGAGACTATCTCTTGTTTGGGGTTGAGAAAACTCATATATAAATAACTCATGATATCATTATCTATTATCTGTAGTCACCAAGAAATCATTATAAGAGTTGGGAGTCATGTGTCTTGAGTTATATTGTGTCAGGAAATTGTATTGTATGCAATTTGCTTTAGTTTTCTAATATTCTCTATTTCCTAACCACAAAACAAGCTCAATATTATCCACTTTTCCAGTATCCTCTCATGGTTATGGACTCTGTTGTACATGCTTATCTCTATGGAAGAAATTACTTACGTGCATGTGTTTGTGTGTACTCATGCAGAGGTATCATTTTAATATGTTCAGAATTTAAATACATATAATTTGAGGTTCACTTTGAATAGAGTTTAGGAGAGCATCAGAAGGGTGGCCTCGGCCAGTTCTAGGGGTACATCAGGCTTTGCTAGTAGGCTTGCTGACTCCTCCATTTCTCCTTCCTGATAGCCACGTTTATGTTATGAGCACAACCCGGAACACTTATACACAGGAACAGCTCATTGCTCAGAAGTGGCTATAAGAAATTCTGAGGCATTTAGGTTCTAGCTGGGTAGTCATGACCCCATTTCATTTTATTCTGCAATATTAGTAGAGGAAAATTAACACTGGGGAACTGGCACAGATGTTTTCTAGGACTTTGAAAATGTCAATGAATCTCAGTGTGATCTCTGTAGTAGAGTGTTTTATGAGGGTGGAGCAGCATCTGGGAAAGAAGTGGAGATGGGCTTTCTCTGAGTCCTTCCAGTTACCCAAATACCACACTTACTCTGAACATCACAAGTAAACGTTTTATAACTGAGGCAATGTTTAGAAATGCTCATGTTGGTTTCTGATAAAATCCAAAGGCTCTCTTTGAAGCTACTGTCCACAGCTTCTAAGGTGCTCTAGGCTTTTTCTGCCTTGCTTTCTTTCCAGAAGGCACTGTGACCAAGGTGTGTAGGGTCTAGTATCTCTGAAGGACAGGACCTGCCTGTAGCAGGCAGTCAAAAGCTTCCCTGGCTAGAGCTATTCTCTAAATTGTCAACATGAATAATTGTTCTTTAAGGCTCATTAAACTGGCTGAAAACTTATGCTACTCTGGAGAGATAAGTGGACATTGGCCAATGAACACTCCACCAGATACTCACCCTTATCACATAGGATAAGCAGGACTCTGAAGGAATGGGATGCATGTGAATCCTCTGGCCTGGGGAGGCAAAAGCAGTCAGCAATAGGGTAGGACCGCAGGGAATGTTTGTCGCCTGATAGCGATGTAATGAAGAGCTACTGAGAGAAATCTGGGAAAGGTATACAAAGACAAAGGTGTTAACTTCCCAGCCGTGCTGGCTTTGCTGGTTAGTATAATTCTGTAGGATTTCATCTCTTATATAAAAGGACATTTTTCTTAGAGTTATACTGCCATTTCTATCTCTATTACATTTGTTTGCCTGATGAATATACCAGTCATTATGCATCACTGCTGATCCCTGAATGCAGTTGGGAATAACTGTTCAGAGCAGAGGCACTCGGGGGCAGACCTCCCAGGTTTCCATCTCGTCTCTGCCACCTACAGGCTTTGCTCAACTGCTGTGTCATTTCCCTAAATTTATCCTACCTAAGCAGTAATACCCGGCATTCCCTGGGTTTATTATGAGCCACGCATGGTGCTAAGAACTCTTCTGTGTGTCTCTACTTACTTTTGTTAGTACCCTGCCAGATAAGAGCTTGTGCTTGGGAGTCAGCCAGGCCCGGGTTCCAGTCCTGGTTCTGGCTCTGCCTCCTACCTGCTGGTGCTCTTGAGCAAATGGCTTATCTTCTCTAATACTTGGGTTCCCCAACTTAAAAATAAGATAATAATCACAACTACCTCATAAAATTGTAAGGATCAAAGGAAACCATAAATGTATGGTGCCTAAAAGTGAACAGCACATAGTAAGAACTCAAAAAATATTAGTCACATTCCTACTTTCCTCCTGCCAGAAGGATCTAGAATGGGTCTACAGTGCACTGAAATGTGAGGTACAGAGTGTGTGAGGGCCAGGGGCAAAGACTGCACTGCTGTGAATCTGGAAGTATCTTCCCCGTGTGTCTTACCCCACCCATGTGCTGTCTGATCTGATCATCACTAAAGCTCTCTGCTTGTCCTGTTCTTTAATAGCCCAAGGAGGGGAAATGGCACAGGTACTTTGTACCTTTGCTAACTTTTAGAAAAGCTATGGAAAATACTAGAATGACTGTTATAAGACAAAACAATTTCAGAATTATCCC